CTTTTTTTTTTCTCTCCTTTCTCCGCCCTCTTTCATTGCATCTCCCCTTCCCACATGTTGCCCTCAATTTCTCACTCTAGGCATTTCTCTAAAAAAAAAAAAGTCGTCACTCAATCGAAGAAGGTATCGAATCACTAGAGTATGGCCTGCTAGAAGTCTGTCTTTTCAAGTGTTTTCGATCAAACTGATCGAGAATAATATTATTATTATTTTCGTCGTTTGAGCGTGCGCACCCCCGATGGGTGGCCAAATTATTGTTTCAGGGGTCGGACTTGTGAACAGAACAGAAAACAACCATGCAACCGACCAAACAACCCAATAGTGCACACAAGGTGTTAAAGTAATTACCCTGCCTGATCAAGTGCTGCCTCCCCGCCCCCCTCCCATCCCAACTTTTTTTTTCTTCTGAATCACTGTTTCAAATGAAGTAGTGCTTGATGAAGCCCACGTGGGACGCTCAATATTAAAAACAATCAGGAAACGACAAATGCAGTTTTTGGGACACATAAATAGACATAAGGGTCTTGAACACCTAGCTCTCACTGGCAAAATTGAGGGCAAGCGAGGCAGGGGAAGGCCCATAACAACAAACTTGGGTGACCTAAACAAATGGGTAACAGGGAAAGATCAGGAAAACGTAGCTTTTTTTTTAGCACCCGAGCAAAGGAATGAATGGAGAACCATGATCGTCGATGTCTGTCGCAGATCTGGCACTGGATGATGATGATGACTGTTTACTGTGATGTATTCCGTGAGGCACCACAGGGTGTAGCTTACTTTCCAAATCACTTTTTTTTATCATGTAGGGCGTAATCATCTTTAAAAAAAAAAAGAAAACACAAAAAAAACAGAAACAAACAGCGACAGGGAGGTTGGACTGCCTCACCCGTTACCCAAGAGAGGCGGTGGCCCTGGCGAAGAGCACGCTCTTCGGGGCTCCAAACATTTCGAACGGATAGGCTACCACACACACAACAACAACAACAACAACAACAACAACAACAAGCAAACAAATCGTTTATGCTTAATAGGACTGATCGGATTCTGATTCGGCAGTGGGCCGGCCCCCAACTTATTACACACTGCTTGGAAATCTGCATTTATTTATTATTTACAGTGTATTTGTTTTTCTTCCACATCGTGATTAATTGTCTGGGCAGCGACCTGATTGTGTGACAGCCCCCCCCCCCCCCCCATACCACCCCACACACACTCCACTCTCACTCCCAATCTCAATCCCAATCCCACCCCACCGCATCGGTTGGTCGTCAATCCCGGCCATATCTCACGAGCCGAATCTCACCACAGCATGGGCGCGGGTAAAAAGGGCTTGCTTGCTCGCCCAAATTTTTCTCGCTCTGCGCCCCGAAGAAAGGAAAGACAAGCTATCGCCTGCAAGTGCATCATGGGAGCGTGGGGAAAGGGGGTGGGGGGTAATTAGATTTGGGCCCTCCGAGCCGAGTGTGATGAAATGCATCGGGGCCCCCCCAGGGATGAGATGCTAGATCTCTTTTCGAAAAGGGAGATCATATTTTTTCTTCTTGTGTCGAAGTAACAGCTGCTGAATTGCGAATGGGAGGAATCGTATTAGGGAAGCATTCTTCTCTCTTTAAGTTGTTGGTTTTTTGGAGAGGTTTTGTTGGTCGGTTTTTTTTTTCAACGCGACAATTTTTATTTGCTTTTTGGCTGTATGGATATGTTATTGTAATTGTAAAATTGTTTTTCTTTTTTTTTTTATTTCACAGGTAACTGTAATTTTTTTCTTCCAGTTTTTTGTTTGAAAGGTTCCTTGTGAGATTGTTTTAGTTCTTTTTGTGTGTTTTTCTTTACTTTTGAAAGAGTGTTGAATGAATTTGGTTGAATTTTTTTTTTATTTAACATTTCTGGAACACTAGCGTTGATTTTTCTTCTTACTGACAAATTTGATGTCCCCTTGGTTGAATTTTATTTAATCGAAGATTTGTTAAAATTGATGTAAAATTGACTGAGTTGTAGCCCTTTAAATGGGTCCCTTCTTTTTATAAGACACCTGGTGGTGAAGAGGACATTCTTAGAGACAGAAAAACATGGCTAGGCCTACCATGGTTGGAAAATCCCAATAGACGTCTGACGGCCTTACAAATCTCTCTTCTTTTTCTTTCTTTTCTTTCTTTTTCTTTCTTTTCTTTCTTTTTCTTTCTTTTTTTTTCTTTTTTTTTCTTTTTTTGTTGTTGTTGTTGTATGTTACACTCTTGCAACACCTCTAGTCTTCGGCACCTTTCTGACCTGATGTTGTTGCGAGTGCCGTATAACGTACTAAAACACACACACACACACACACACACACACAAACTCACGCACACACCAACACAAACACACTAACACATACACACACATGCACACACACACACACTTTCCAACCCCATGTGAAATGTCCATATTGTTGTTTATGTTTTGCTTCGAATTGTAAGTCAGACACGTAGGTGAGTGATATGGTTTGCTCTTTCTTTCCTATCCAACAGCTGTCTAACATCTTTAACTCTCCACCTTTTTGTGTTTGTTACTTTCGTGTAACACCTCAAATCGTTGGCACTTATTTATTTGTCCTAATTGTGTTGCAAGTACCGTAAAACTTACTAATACCTAAAAAAAAACGTACACACATACATACACACATACACACACATACATACACACACACACACACACAATCACACACACACTCCCCCCCCCCTCGTGAAATGTCAGTATTGTTGTCCATGTGGGGCTTCAGATTTTAAGTCAGAACTCTTTTTAATGTATGTTTGTTTGTGTGTGGTGTCCCTCCATAGAATGCTGGTGGTTGGACTTGGAGGGCGCCACTGGTTGGTCCTACTTCTTTACTTTCTCACTGTTGTTTTGTGTCTGTTTTACTTTTTCCTGTTGCGTCGTTAATCTAGGCATTGGGCTACCAGACCCGTAATCATGAGATTGGGGGTTTGGGGATTTGAGCTTCAGCTCGGTCCGACATTGCGTCCTTGGGAAAGACACTTTACATGAATTTCCCATTTGGCTCGGTTCTTTCGGAAATGTAAGTTAAACTCTGAGGTACCGCCTCTTAAATAACCGAACAGTGTTGATAGGGGCGTTAAACCTATACCAGGTTGGCTGGTGCTCTGGTGTGGTTTGCTTCTTCTTTCCTATCAAACATCTATTGTCCTTTTTTCCCCTCCTTTTTTTTTGTCTATGTTACTCTCTTGTAACACCTCTAATCTTCGGCACTTAGTATGCCTTAAAACTCTTAGTAAAACTAAAACTCTTTTACTCAAACAAAACAAACCGACCAACCTCCACAGAATAACCAACGACGCGCGAGAGGACGAGATGGAGCAGAACATGGTGGAGGTGAGCGGGATGGTGGGCAACCTCCGCAACATGGCCGTGGACATGGGCAACGAGATTGAGTCGCAGAACCGGCAACTGGACCGCATCAACCAAAAGGTGGGTTCTAGTGCCAGGCGCTGGTGCTGTATCTATGAGTACTATGATGATTGTACAGCGCATAGAGATTTCTGTCGAAAGGAGATTTGCGCTATACGAACTCTGTTTATTATCATCATTATTTTTTAAATTATTATTATTACTATTATTATTATTACTATTATTACTATTATTATTATTATGACTATTGTTGTATTATAATTTTATTGTTAATATGATTATTATAATCTTCATCATCATTATTATTATAATCATCATCATTATTCCATCATCATCATTGTTATTATGGTTATTATTATTATTATTACCATTGCTGAAATCATGTGTAACAATGGCGCGAGCTATGTCTGTATGTTGTGCCGTACGCCTGTGAACCTGGCAGCTACCTGTGCAGTGCTGCTCTCCACTGGTCTGTCCTGTCTGCAGTACAGTAGTGCTGCTACCCAGCTCAGCATAGGTGGTGCTGTTTTCTCTTTCTTGTGCTGTCCCACACGCCCAAGGTGTGCTTGCAGCATTTTACTTTGTACTGTGCTACGCGCTGTACTGTTCAGCAGCCTGCACAGCACTGTAGGGGTTCTGGTCTCCTGTGCATTTGAAACTGTCTGAGATGGCTACCCCTTGTCCAAGAGGAAAGTGGCTGTCTTTGACAGGTCGACATCTTGCGCAGTGTCATTATAATGTAAAAGGAAAACAGGCAAGGGCCACGTCGTTCTATGCCTCACACTGTACCGTGCTGTTTGGTGCAGCTACTCAACCGATCAAACATCTATCATGATCATCTCTCTCTTCTTTTTTTTTTTTATGTTACTCTCCAGAAACACCTCTAAACTTCGGCACTTATATAACCTAATTGTGTTCCGAGTGCCATAAAACTCTTTAATTAAAAACTGAAAAATTAAAACCACAGTGCTGTCCTGGGCTGTCTGCTGTATTGTGCATTGTGCTCTTCAAATGGCTGCGTACCCATGTCTCCCTTCTGTGCTATGTACTTGAGCTACCAATATGGAGCTGTGTACCCAAGCTTGCCTTCATACACTCCCACCTCTAACACCAATGGGTGCTTCATTTACAGGCCACACTGAAAGACTTGGGTTCTGCCGACGAATTATCTAAATGCCTTCTGTTCTCTCTGATGTGCTTTAGGCTTGACTCATGCTGGTTCCTCTCTTTGTCTGTCGTCCAGGAAGCATTTGTCTGTGCAGCTGAGATTGTTACGTTCTTCTCCCATAGGAGAAAAGACAATCGCAAAGAAATTCATTTTAGGAAGTTCACTGTATTTACAAAAATCTGGGCAATGCCTGACACCTAGTCTGCATGATGAGATTTAAGAAAGTTTGAAAGCAAAACTAAAATGATATTAGTTATCTTTTTTGTTACCATCTTTTGAATATTTTAAGTTTAACTCTTCACATTTTTTTGTGGAGATTGTAAATCTTTCTCAGAGGGAGGTTAGAGTTTAGTTTAGTATGGTTTTTATTTTCTGATGTTTCCGCCTTGCTTTAATAGATAAATGAATAGTTGTTTTTAGATTCTTCATTTTCTTTTGCATTGAAACAAAATTAATCCTTTATGAGGTTGAAATTAAGGCGCATGGTAGGATTTTTATCGTGTGCAACCCATGTTTGAGTGAAGAGATCGAGGCAGTGACAGATTTGTTGCCAGGGGACTTGGAGGGTCTGAAAGGGATTGACTTCCATCATACTGACTAAGTGATAGATAAGACTTGGATGTTTCTCAGCTGCTGCCAGATGATGTTTCTGACTGTTGCATCTGTTGTGACCATGTCCTGGCGGGGCCAGGGCTACTGATAGTGGTCCGTAACTGTCTGTCTTGTTCCTCTCTGATGACCCTGTGAACTTATTCCTCTCTGATGACCGTTTGAACTATTGGTTAAGTAGTGGCAATTGAGGTTGGACCACATAAGTGTCTTGATATACAGCTGAGTCTGCTTTAACTGAACATGATAAATCCGAAAATTTGGGTAAAACTTAAATAAAAGAAAATCCGCGTTTCTTTTTTTGTTCTATTTGAGCAACCTCTTTACGTCAAACCTGGCTAAACCTAAGAAAACCCAGCTGACTCCACTGTATTATGTTTATATTGTGCCTTAGTGAGATCAAGAGCAGTGCATTAGCTGTAAATTTTGGTTATTGGTGCTATAATCATTCACCTTACTAATATTGGAGTTTAAATAATTGAATTAAATGAAGAGGCTCAGTTGTTAGGTCTAGTTTGTCTCTCTATAAGTAGGTTTTAGTGTGCTAGCTGTGTGTACTGTCTGTCTCATGACTTTGTCCTTGGGTCCTTTTGGTGCTTTGGTGAATTATTGGGGCATCTTAGACATTAAGCGGGTGGTTGGCAGGCATTATAGTGTTATTAGCTGGCTCTTTCCTATCGAACATCTATCATCCTTATCTCTCCTCCTCCTTTTTTTGTGTGTTACTCTCTAGTAATACTTCTAACCTAATCATGAGCACTTATACAACCTGTTTGTGTTGCAAGTGCTACAAAACTTATTAGAACAATAACTTAGATATGTAACTTCCATATTATGCATCATGATTTTTTCGAACTGATGGAAAATGAGGCTTGATTTTATCTCTTGTTGCAATTTTATTATGAACAGAAGTGTCTTTTTTTCCTCTGTGTTAATCATATAACTGACTTGTGAAATGATAATGATTTCCGACTCCTTTTACAATAATTGCTGATTTCGAATCTAACCATATCCACTAATATTATGGTCAACTGTCAGGGCATGCACGACTTTGAGTTCTGGCTTGTGGCACTAACCTTATTGGCCCACCACCCATCCCACCTCCCTTTCCTGCCCCGCTCCCGCCCTTGCATTGTGTCTACAGGGCATGTCCAATGAGACGCGCATCACAGCAGCCAACCAGAGAGCCACCAAACTGCTTAAGGAGGCTTAGAAAGACTTCCAGCTGGCGCCAAAATAACACACACAATCTCGTCTCAGAAATGTCTTCAATGCTCTGTCTTTTATTATCAACCTCTTGTTTCTTGCCTCTCGCTCCGTTTGAAATCCACTGTTAGTTTGTATTATTCTATATATATACATATTTTTAATTAATTATTATTGTCTTCGGTTCAGATCAGAACTCTGTTCTCATTCAACCTACTTAAAGAGTGTCCTTATACATTTATACAACTAGTTCTCTTCATTGTGTCGGTTAATGAACTTGAATATGTAAGTGGTCACAAAAGCTAGACTCTTCACCTCTTTGGGGCATGTCTCGGTAGTATGTCAAGGCGGTCAGCCAGCACAACACACATTGTATGAACTACAGCAAGGTAGTTCAGGCATAGTCCTCTTCTTCCATTTCACTCGATATATGCATCAATTCTTTAGCTGTCTTCCTTCCGTTTGCCGCACATCATAGATCTCTGTTCCCCCCTTCCACCCTTTTTGTTTGTACATGTATATTACGTTTTCCCTTTTATGTTTTACGCTTTATGTTCTTTTCTGATTTCTTGTACTCCACTAAGTGTTAAAGTGTTTTGTTGTTTGACCTAGGTTTGATGGCCCAGTCCCTTAGACCCTGAGGGGACAATGTCAGTGCATCAAGTTGTAATGTTAATCTCTGTCAGCGAGGTTTAGAGAGTTACGTCTGAAGATTACTTGGTCTGTTGCTGGTCTTCAATCGGGATGCGACCACAAAGGGTTGATAATTAGGACGACAGTCATGAGCCTCAATCTGCCTATTTCATATTTGCAGAGCTGCCAAGAACCAAATACTCTGATCAAAATGGAGCCCTCCGTTTTTTTGTGTGTGTGGATTTTTTTTGCTACTGATGGGAGAACCGTGATTGGTTTTGCTTAAAATCTGATTTTTTTTTTCTTGAATTCTGTTTCCATCAGCTCATATGCAACTTACCGTAAATAATGAGGAAATGTACTGGTGTTTTTTCGTTTATATGCCCTTTTTGCGGGGTGTAACATTAATGAGGTGAAAGACATACTTTTTTTTTCTTCAAATTTGCGTGCATTTGCAATATAGTACGAAATCTGAATCTATTAGGGGTTGTAGAGCCTGATTTTTTCTTCCCCCACACTTTGATTTTTGAGGAGGATTCTGAGGGAAACTCCTATTTTTGGTCACGGAGGGGTTGGCAGGTCTGCATTTGTCTGATAGGGGGGGGTCTTTGTCACTCACCTGGTCAATCCATAATTATTAAGTGTTGTTTTATTGTGGAGCTGTATTTATTTTATTTCTTTTTCTCTCAGCAGATGTGTTACTGGTTCATGTGTCATGTTTTATTTTTTTATCCTTTTTTTTCCTCCATTTCATTATTTTTTTTATTTGCAGCATGATGAAGAGGTCCTGTGTGCATCCAGATCACTTCATTGTGTTGGGAATTTCGTACATTGGGTCGTTTTTTTATTTCTAGATTTTCGTATTGATGTGTAGGTTTTGTGTCTTCCAAGGTTTTCTGTTTTCTTTATTTACCATCTGTTGTGTTCACAGAACCTGCCTGCCGCACTCCGAAAAAATTGATGTCCACTCGGTTTCTGTCTGTCATATCATTTGGGGCTTTATTTGTGTTATTTTTCTTCCTCAGACATGCACTCGTTTTTTAATGTGTTTTTTTTTTTAAAATGGTCCCTCTTATTTTATATCATTGATGTTTCGGGGTTGCTTTTATTTCAGCTGGGTAATTACTGTGTAGAAGTATAGATTCTCCTCTTAGCTTTAGTAGTCCTCTTAGTTTGGCGACTGGGAGGATTTTTTAAAATCTATTTCTGTGAGCATGGTTTTATGATTTTCTGTTTATCTCTGTAGTGATCGATGATGGCTTTGGTTTAATATTTTACTTGCTCTTTTCGAACATAGCATGTCTCTAAGGTTGGTTTTTTTTTAATCCTTACCTGTACTCCCACGTCATGGCAATGAGTTGGTTAGCCCTGTGGCCAAATCGAGCGACTGGCAAAGGTGTTTGGTGCTCTCTCTCTTTATATATTATGATGTTTAGTGGGATTAGAGACCTTGTTAAGAACATTCCTTTAGCTTCTTAAGCTTCTGGGGCAAGATTACGTCTACCCATGACGTACAGCGAAACGTTCCATTACTAGAAATTGCAAATTTTTGTGTTTTTTGAAGTCTTAAGACTTTTCCATTGTGTTCCTGACATCATTGATATGTGAAGTTTAAGAAACCCTTGGGGATGAAAAACTAACTACTTAGAATGAAAAGCTAACTGCTTATGATGAAAAACTGAGTTCTTATGGTGAATGATGAAAAACTCACCGCTTGTAATGAAAAACCAAACGGGCAATATAAGTACAAGTTTTACCCTCTTTTCCACCATGGTATGAACACTTGAGTGTTGTGTACAGCTGTTCTCACTTCAACAAAGATGTGTGCTGATCTCATGCTCAGTTTGTTTCTCCTGACCCGGAATGTGGCCCTCTTCTGTCCAGAATCGTTAAGGCCATTTTGTGTGACCTCTGACCTGTTTAGTGCTGTCCAGAGTTAAGACTCTGCAGATAGTTTCTGCAGTCATCATGGTCTCATGTAGCACAAATTTTGCTCAACTGTTTATACAGAGATAAAAGGTTTTTGGTTTCTTTTGCTCTGTCTTTTGAAATTATTGGAAAATAAAGGCTTCTGGGATCTTGTGAATTTTTAAAATATAGTTGTTTTTTTTAAATTCCTATGTAACTTGAAATTATTAAAAAGTGGATGGCCTTTTGGGATGTTGTGAAGTTTTTAAATATAGGTGGGAACAAAATTCCTATCTAACTTGAAGTTATTGGAAAGTGGAAGGTTTTGGGTATGTTGGGAATGTTTTAAATTTAGGTTGAAGCATAACTCCTATCTAACTTTTCCGTGTGGATTGGCTAAGGGCAAAGTCCTGGTGCTGTTCTCTCTGTCCCCCCCCCCCCCCCCATCTCCACCTGTCCTGGCCCCACTGTAGGCAATGAAGCGATATGTGCCATTCTAGCGCACTGATGTGCTTGGAATTATAATGAATTTCGTCCAACTCCACTCCGTTGAGGTGTCTGGAAATAGCTCCAGTAAAATGATCTAGCTTCGTGTGACTTCACCATGTCAGCATTGTATTGTGAATACCACTCGCTCTGAGTGTCTCACTCACACAAGATGCACACATTACTATATAGATGTATTTTGTATTTACTCATATGTACAGTCACTTCAGGGAACAGGGTTTTTTTGTTTGTTTTACTTCGTGTTTTGTGGTGTGATTCTCACACAGTTAGTTAGTGAAAGGTGTTTACTATGTTCAGAGTGAAAAGTATGGGTTTGATAACGATATATGTAAACGTATAGTTGGGAATATCAACCTATCCAAACATTTGACTTAATGCTAGATAGGAGATGACAGCATTGTTGTAAACTTAATTCCCTAGGAGTTTCATGCAATTTCAGCAAAGTATATCCTTTAAAAACCATATACACTTCTGTTGGCTGTGGTTCTTATGCTTCAAGAACTTTACAAAGGAATTCTTTATCGGTTGTTTGGTGTATCCGTGGGTTTTCTATTTTGACCATTCTAGAGTCGCTGTACAGTAAATGCCATGATCTGACCTGATTCATTTTCTTTGTGATGATTCAACACAACCTACGGAAGCGGGGTTTCTTTCAAGCGTAAACTCTGTGATTTTATTCTAGATGTTTTGTTTTCCCTCTAAGACAACTTTTGTATAGAAAGGTGGCTCTTGCCGTCTTTTGGTGGATGGCTATCTGTCTCATTGTATCTGTATGTGTAAACATCTTTGTATTACCAATTTCATCACATTTGATAGTTTCGCATTTAAGGACATATGTATATATAGACATGTATTTTCATTTATTCATGCTTCATTGTGTAGTGTTTAATACTTTTGTTTCTTTTCTTTTTTTTTCTCCATTTTTATTTTCCATGGGAGCAGGGTGGCTCTCTTAATACACGAGTTGATGAGGCGAACAAACGAGCCAATAAGATTCTCCGGAACCAGTGATAGCCTGCTGCATGTTATTGAGAGTGATGTTGCCAGAAAGTATTGCCGGATAAGAGCCTACTCCCGATCTCCTCCCAACCCTACCCACCACAACCCCTCCCCATTCCTCCTCCTCCCCCCCCCCTCCCAGCCAGCTCATCATGGAGGAGAGGTCCCCTTGGGATAGAGAGATTTTGCTATGACCGCTACCCTTCTGCAACTGTGCAACAGAGGAAGAGAGAGATTGTGGTGTGTGTTTGGTATGCGTGTGTTTGTGTGGGTCTGTCTGTACATTTGTTTGTTTGTACTTTTTTTTTTAGTTGGGATTTGTCCTGTCTGGTGTTTGTGTGGGTCTGTCTGTACATTTGTTTGTTTGTACTTTTTTTGGGGGGGGGGGATTTGTCCTGTCTGGTTCAGTGGCTACCACAGCCACCGCTCTTTAATACCTCTAACTTTTAATCACGGTACATTAATTTATGTAATGCGAATGAATGCCGGGAAGAATACAGGGTACTAGGAAACAAATTCCTGCCAGGTCCAATTTAAAATGACAAGACTGTGAAGGAACGTATTGCAGCTGTGAGTGGCTTTGGTAAGAAACTCATCAGGGCAGTTGACTTGAGTCTCTCTGGGTTTTTGCCCCAATGCATCCAGAGGTTGTGCTTAAGTGGTATGGGACTGAGATGAACACTGATGATATGTTTCCATCCCATAGATCAGACAATCTTGTTGGCAGTCGTTCTGTTCCCAGGCCATCAGTTCAATGTAGTTAAAGTTAAAATTCACTGGAGTATAGTTAGAGTTCCTTGTATCCTGTTTGTTCTTGTCTTAATTTCAGAATGGTGAAAGCCTGGAGAACGATTTTCTTGTCAATATTGTGTCTCATGTTTGAGAAACCAACTGGTTTTTGTAATGATATATGGACAGGTTTTTGAGTGTTAATGCTCAAAATTAAGGTATATGTGAAAT